TATAAAGAGGCAACGCAAAGGAAATTTTTAGAGTGATTAAACTATGCATTTGCCAAAGCTCACAGAACTATACATTTAAAATGATAAACTTTATTGTATGTTATACCCCAATACCATCTGTCTACCCTTTTTGTATGTTATACCCCAATACCATCTGTCTACGCACCCACCCCTCCATTTCTCTCCCCTCCCCTCTTCTCCCCGCCCCCACCCCTGCCCCCAATCTAGACATAGTAGACAAAGTAGACACGATTGGGTGGCTCTAGTGTTATTAAGGACCAGGACGCCTTCTGTCTGTTGCTCTGATACGATGCTGCTTGAGACCAGCATCAGATCCAGATTGCTGCAGAGGCAGGAGTGAACAGGAAGGGGTAGAAAAGGGTCTGAAACTCCCCTTTAGAGACTTTCCCAAAGCCCCACACTAGCCTTCCATTTACACTGCACTGGCCAAAGTGTAGTTGCCACATTTCATCACATCTAGCTGCAACAGAGGCTGGGGAATACAGACTTGAACCAAAGAAATGAGAGTGGATGTTGGAGTATGCTGCTAGCAATGTCTGTCACACTGCTCATGGCTCCTAGCTGTCAAAGTGTCTTGTAACATGGAAGTTAAGTCTCCTGGCTCCACACTACATTGCTTAAAATCCTTGAGTTCCAAGGTGCCTTTCTGTGATTCTGGTGCACTGTTTCCAAACCCTTTTCTTGGTCACATAAAATTCACTGTGCAATCTTATGTCAGGCACTGCTTTCAACATCTCTGGAAACTTGAGTTTGGTAATGCCAAACAATGGACTGATTTCCCAAGCAAAGCTTAGGGGGGAAGCCATACAAAAATTATTAATAGAAAACATCCTTCATTTGGAATAAATCATAAATATTTGACCCAAAATGCTGGCTATTTGAAGTATTTGCATTTAAAAATCAATCGTATTTCATTGTTATGCCTCAGAGTTGATTAATAAAATGCTTTGATAGGCAGCGAATTTCATTCGTTTAACAAACATTTATTGAGGACCTAGTATGTTGTGTTCAAGAGATGGTGCAGACCCTAGGCATAAAAAGATTAAAAAAAAAAAAAAAGCCCTTGCTCTTAAGGAGCTCACTTTGTAGAAGGAAGAAATGGTAATATGTGTAATTAAACTTACGTGATGGGTGTTACAATGGGAGTTAGAATATGGAAACCTGGTAGAGTTCCCCTAGTTTTGTTCTTTTTCAAAAATTTTTAAGTTATTCCAAGTTGTTTTCCATACAAGTTTTTAGGATCAGTTTACCCAATTCTTATGCCAAAGAAAGTGCTGGAATTTTGATAGGGATTGCATTAATCTAAAGATTTGTTAGGAGAGAATTGAAATCTTAACAATATTGATTCTTCTGATCCATAAATACATCTTCTCATTTATGTAGATCTTTCATTCCTCTCAGACATTTTATTGTGTTCACTATACAACTAGTGCACATTATCATGTCAGATTCCATGTTTATTCATGCTGCTAGAAATGGTATGGTTTTCACAATTTCAGCATCAAATTGTTTGTTGCTTGCTAATAGAAATAAAATTGATTTATGATTTTTGACTTTGTATTCTGTGACCTTGCTGAACTCACGTATTAGTTCCAATTGAATTTTTGTAGATCCTTGGGATTTTCTATATAGGTGATCAGGTGATCTCTTAATACAGACAGTTTTATTTTTTCTTTCCAGCCTTTAATTCCTTTCCTTCACTCTATTGTGCTGGCTAGCAACTCCTAAATAAAGAAACGATGAGAGTTGACAGCGTTGTTTTGTTCTCAAGCATAAAGGGAAGCATTCAGCCTTTCTCTGTTTAGTATTTTACCTATAAATTTTTCACATATGTCCTCTATCAGGTTGAGAAAGTTCCATCTTATTCCTAGTTTGCTGAGATTTTTTTTTTTTCTTAAATCATCAGTGGATGTTGTTTTTTTCTTCCTAATTCTTATTTTGCATGAATTGAGGTCATTACATATCTTTTTTCTTTTATAGCCTGTTGATAAGGTGCATTATATTGTTTTATTTTCAGTCCTTTCCATTCTCCTTTGCATTCCTGGTTTAAATACCACATACTTGTGAAGTATCATTTTATGCACTGCTAGTTTCAGTTTGCTGATGGTTAAGAATTTTTATCTGTTCATTGGGTCTGTGGGTCTGTGGGTCTGTGTATCCAATGTAGTGAAATTCGGTTTGGCATTGGCTGGCCTTATAGAATGACTTGCGAAGTGTTTTCTCTTTTGTTTCCTGGAGAAGTTTGTGTAGGGCTGGTGTTTTCTTTCTTTCTTAAATGTTTGGCAGAATTCAACAGTGAAGCTGTCGAGGGTTTTCCTAGTAGGAAGATTTTAAACTATGCATTTAGCTTTTTAAATCATACAGGAATATTCCAGTTATTTATTTCTTATTGAGCGAGCTTTGGTAGTTTGTATCTTTCAAGGAAATTTCTCCATTTCATCTAAAATATCAAATGTACGTATGTAAATGTGTTCATAAAATTCCTTTGTTATCCTTTTAATGTTGTTAAACTCTACACTGATACCCTTCCTTTCATTCAAGGTATTGGTGTTTGATACTGTCTTCCACCTGTTTTTTTTTTTTTTCCGTCAGTACGCTTTATTAATCCTATTGCACTTCTCAAAGAGCCAACTTTTGGTTTCTCTATCGTTCTTCTGTTTTTTATTCATTTGCACTCTCATTTTTTTATTATGTCTTTTCTTTTGCTGTTTTTTGGATTTAATTTTCTCTCCTTTTTTTAGTTTCTTAAGGTTTAATCTTAGGTCATTGATTTGAGGCTTTTCTTTTTTAAATTTATGCAGTTCTGTTTTTTTTCCTCTGTTCTGCATTAGCTGAACACCATGCATTTTGATGTATTATATTTCTATATTTGTTGGATTCAAAGTATTTCTCTTATTTCTTGTGATTTCTTTTTCTGACCCATGGATTATTCACATTTGTATTCTTAATTTCTTAACCTTTTGGAAAAGGTATCTTTCCAGAAACAGTTCTGTTATTGATTGCTTATTTACTTACATATCTTTGTATGATTTTTTCTTGTTAGCGTGTTTAGATTTGTTTTGCGGCCCCAAATGTGGTCTGTCTCGGTGAGCGATCACTGTGTACCTGAAAGGAGCGCACATGCAGTTGTTGTTGGGGAAAGTGTTACCTAAATGTTAGTTAGCTCAACTTGTTTGGTAGTGCGTTTGAGTGACAGGTATGCCCTGACTGAACACGTGTGTGGAGAGCAATCTCGTTCTGTCCATCCATTACTGAGAGAGGGCTGTTGAAGTTTGCACCTCTGAGTATGGATTTGTTGTTTTATTTCTGTTAAGTTTGTTTTGTGTTTTGAGGCTCTGTTATACTGGGCATATGTATTTAGGATTGTTATGTCTTCTTGAGTAGTTGATTCATTACGAAATATTCCTTTTTGTCTCTAGTTTTATTCCTTGTTCTGAAATCCACTTTATCTGACATTAATATGGTCACTCTAGCTTTCTTGTGATTATGTTTACATGACATATCTTTTCCTCATCCTTTTGCTGTTAGCCTAGTCAAGTCTTTATATTTAAAGGTTTTTATATGTTTTTAAAGACAGAATTTGCTGAGTCTTGCCTTTGTCTAATCCAATCTGACAATTTTTGCCTAATTCTAGTTTTAATTCTAGTTTTTAGGCCATTCACAATTAATGTGATTTTTAATGAGGTTGCCACTTGTTTTATATTTATTCCATAGTTCTTTATCTTTTTCCTGTTTTTATAAGATTAATTTTTTACTTCCATTTTATCTCTATTATTAGATTTACATTATAAAAATGTGATTACTTTAGGATTTGTTATAGATACCTTGAATGCATTAGAACCTTTCATCAAATATTGTTATACCATTTCAAGTACGGTATAAAACAGTATACTCCTACCCCTCTCTTCCAGCCTTTGTGCTGTTGTTGGCATACGTGTACTTGACCATGTGTTATGGACCTCACAATATATTATTCAGTTTGCTTTACAGCCATTTGTCTTTTAGAAAGATTTAAACATTTTTAAAATTTACCCTAAATTTGCCATTAACAGCACTCTTTGTTTCTTGGTGTAGCTTTAGATTTCCAACTGTGTCATGATTGTTCTTCCTGAAGAACTTTAACATTTCTTCTAGTACACATCTAAAGGAAAGGATTAGCTTTTGTGTATCTGAAAATGTCTTAATTTTGAAATATTTTTTTGTTGGCTATAAAATATTAAATTGACATTTTCTTCTTTCAGAACTCTAAAAATGTTGTTCCATAGTGGTTTGGCTTAGATAACTTCTGCCAAGAAGTTTCTGAGCTCATCTATGTTTTTCTGTATATTGCCCCCCCCCCTTTTCTCTCTCTAGGGCACATAGAGTTTTTTCCTAGCCCCCCTCAGTCACAGGACTCCTTTGGCTGAGACTGTGAGCAGGAGGGTGTCCTGTCCTCACCCCGGCTCTAAGTGCCATTGCTTTTTCCTTAATGCAAACATTAAAAACCCAGGGGCTGACAGCTTTGTTTTCACCCCTCCCCAAGAGGCATCGTCCTGGGCCCTAAAGGAGGGCATCATTCTTTTTTAATGACCTAGTTTTTCAGTGTGTTTTCTAGCGTATGTTATATGACAGTGCATTCACACGTAACAGGTGATGTAGAAATGTTGTATGTAGAGGAGTGGATGTTCAGCGATCTCAGAGGTCAGCTTGCAGAGTCAGAGCCGTTTGGGGGCCCCTGCCCTAGGGGGTCAGGACCAATGGCTGACAGATTTGGAGTAGAATTTTCTATTCGCTTTTTGATTTGACAACATGATTCAAGATGGGTCACTTCACTTCAGTGAGTAGCTTCATTTATAACTGGAGAATGTTTTACAGTGCACATTTTATTTCTTAAATAATTATTAAATTTATATGCTTAAAAGTCAAAGCAGTCTTAATGGACTCTTTTGTATTTTAAACTCCTTTGTTTTGGTACATGAAAATCTCCTTATTCTTTTTAGGACTGTGAGGCTATGGGAAGTTGAAAATCCAAAGAAGCAAAAAAGTGTGTTTAAACCACGGACGATGCAGGGTAAGAAAGTAATCCCCACCACGTGCACGTATAGCAGAGATGGGAACCTTGTAGCCGCCGCCTGCCAGAATGGGAGCATACAGATCTGGGACCGAAACCTGACTGTAAGTCCAGGACATTTACGTCCGTTTTTCTTAGAAGAAAATCACCTTATATATTACACAAACATGTTAAAATATTATGAAAATTAATTTCCTAAGTTTATCCCTAATTTAAACTTCAGTGTTGATAAAACATTGGAACTTTTGCAGTAAACAGCATTACCACAAACATCCCAGCTTGATATTTTCCAGTGCATGTTAGATTTTGTTTTTAAAATAAATTAGGCCTTTGGTATAAAAATTAAAAAGCACAGTGCAGTTTATTATATGGCATTTCAGTGTACGTACTTGATTTTGAAAATGAAGGATTTGATGGTAATATAAAACAAGACTAAGCAGACAACTGGAAAATACCCTTTGAAAGATTTAAGAAAATCATGAAATGTTCAGGGTGCTCCATCAATTGTTTTGCAGTTATTTCTTTAGTAATGTAAATAATATTTTGCCTTAATATTCCATTTGCATAGGTTTTAGTTTCTTCTTTACAGTTTATCATTATTATAATAAATAAAATTTGAATTGGAACAGATCATAGAATTCTATAACCATAGAATTCTAGACTTGGACTAATTCTGGAAATTACCAATAAGCTTTAAAAAGGGCTTTCTATGTATAATAAGAATTTGTAGTAAAATATGAATTTTGATAAGTGCAATGATTCTATGTTACTAATGTTAATATAGAAATCTGCACTGATGTTATAATGCAATTTAGTTATGTTGTTTTAGTAAAAGGTTCTGGTTCGATTATTAATTCAGTAAATATTAAGTAACTACTATATGGCAGGCAGTATTCTAGGAACTGGACATACTGCAGATCATCAAAAATTCCTGCCTTCATGAAGTTTACATTCTAGTTATTTTTTAAAAAACTATAAAAATAATGTCTTTCAAATAAAATTGACCATCCAATATTTACATTTTGAAAGGGACCTCAGGAAACATAGTTGCCCTTTCAGGCAGACAAGTTAAAGTCAGTTTTCTTGGAATAAAGTGAAAAGTAATGATAGGGAGGAAAAGAATCCCTGTTTATAATGGTGGAAATATCTTTGGCTTTTTCTGTTTGTCAGATCTTTTTATTTCTGTTTTTATCTTCACTGTAAACCCCATAAAGCTTCATCACAGCACAGAGATTTTTTAAAATCCTTTGAATTGTAAACTGAGTTTTAACCAAGCAATAAATTTTTTAGTAACTGGCTTTCATCGACCCTGGGTACTGTTGATTTAAACACAGAAATTCTAAACCATGAAGTTTTTTTGTGTAGCTTTAATAATGGTATGTTTGATATGAGATATATATATATATATATATATATATATATAATGGTATGTTTGATATGAGATATACATATATATAATGGTATGTTTGATATGAGATAGATATATATAATGGTATGTTTGATATGAGATAGATATATATATATATGAGATGTATATATATGTGTATATATATACATATATATATGTATATGCATGCCTTTCTCTTGGAACCTTTATATTTTTATAAAGTTGAATATAGTTTTTAATGATTAGCCTTGTGTATCTCTTTATGTAAGGAGTATCTTCCGTTTCTGGGTTTGAAGAACACAAAGCTGTTTGAATGACAGCCCTTCCCCCGCCCCCATAGCGTTTCTAGCCATTCTGCTAATCACAGCCTTTGATTCTATTGTGTTAGAATTCAGTAGTGCAGGAATATATTGCTTATTATACCACCTCCCTTTTTTTTTTTTAATTCATATTTTTACATTTATGTGTAAGTGTGTCACATGAGGAGAAATCACATTGGTAAGAAGAAACTTGCTAACAGGAAATGCAGCTTGATTTATTTTTTATTGTTGTTGAATTAATGCAGCTTGATTTTGAAAGCAGATTTTTTACTAGACTTCAGGTGGTGAGCCCACATGATGTGTTACAGAATCGTACAGCCGAAACTTATATAATGTTATTAACCAATGTTATCCCAATAAATTTAATTTAAAAATAAATAAAAACTCAATTGTTGCTAATAAAAAAGTGAACAAATTTTTAAAAACATTTCTTAACTATCACTTTAGCAATAATAAACCATTCATAGGGAAACACTAAAGCTGAGGTAAGAAAGCCTAATAGAAGTAGGTTTTCTACCTAGAAGCCAAAGGATTACGTGGTAAATAATGGTTAACCAAGTTTCGTGACAAGTAAAGCTATCGCAGTTGCCATAATCATAGAATTTTCAATGGGCAAAGTGGAACATTGGCAAATTAAATGAAATATTTTTTTAAAGAAGTAAGATGTCTGTCTGTTCATGATACATTCCTGTGTTCTCAAGACCTACCTTTATTCCAGACTCATGCTGGCCAAAATGATAGCCACTAACCACATTTGACTCTTTCAATTTATTCAATAAGTTCGTTAAAACGCAATTAAAATTTCAGTTCCTCTGTCCTATCAGCCACACGGGAAGTTGCCCAGTAGCCACATGTGTCCGGTGGCTCCTCATTGAGCAGCACAGGTCGAGCGCAATCCCGTCACTGCAGAAAGTGCTGTTAGAGCTGCTCAGGAGAAGTGTGTGCCCAGTGTCCCTGTCAGTCATGGTGGCAGCCTGCCTTCCAGCTGGAGGAGGTGGCTTCCTCAGAGGAGCCTGTACACTGCCTCCCTGGTTCCTCTCCCTCTCACCTGCGTATGTCTGAGCAGCAGCAGGGAGGTCAGCGCTTGGTGGGCGTGAAGTGAGGGAGGTGCAGAGATCGGGAGGCCACATTGGAGGGGCAGCAGCATGCACCCTGACTCAGGGCCTCATCAGGCGCGGAACGCCTCTGCCTGCAGCACCCTTCCCCTGGACGTTCACATGCTTTTCCCTCGCCCCTTTCGCCCCTTTCCGTGCAGGCCTCAAATGGCTGCCTCAGCTAGGCTCCCCGACTCCACCCTGTAAAAATGGCAACCTCCATCTCGCAACAGCACTCTCTGTCACTCTTATTTTCTCCCATAGGGCTGACCACCAGCTGACACACTCTACTGAACATTTATGTATTTGTGGGCTGTTTACCTCCAATAGCATTTGGCTCCATGAGGGAAAGGAATATTGTCGCATTTGCCCCCTGCTTGATTTCCAGAGCAAAGAACAATGCCTAGTATATAGCAGATCCTCATTAACTGTTTGTTGAGTGAATGAGTGAATGAATGCATTCTGAAAAGGTAACATAAAGTGAGATTGTCAGTGTACTTCTAAGAAGACATGAAAAAAATACTAGCATTAAAAACTAATATTGTAATAACTAAATATGGTACCAGGTGGGTACTTGAAAATACTGGGGGATCACTTTGTAAATTATATGATTGTCTAAGCATCATGCAGTACACCTGAAACTAATATAAAATAATATGGAATGTCAGAGATAGTAGCATAAAAACTATCTTAGTTATATTAACACACAATGAGATAGAATATGAGAGAGATAGTGAGGTAAGTTTTGGTATATCCTTAATAATGTATAAATAAATAATTTGTATTAACATGGGTGAATTTTTAAAAATTGTTTTCATGTGTCTCTCAAGTATAATTTCTGGCTTTTAAACTATCCCAGTACATATAACCTTATGAATACCTGTTTGTGTAAAAACACCTACCAAAGTCTTTGGACATATTTTGCTCAAAGCTGCTGTTCTTCAGTAGCTATTGAGAATCTATAGCACACTAGACCCTTTACTAAAAGAACATGCTGTATTTACCTGTATTACAATCACTATTTGTAGACAAAGATTTTGCAGGAAAATGGGGATCCATCATATTCATAGAGTCTTGCCTTGCCTAGATGCGGGTGATGGGCGCTTCAGTGCCCGCCACACACTGCATATGTAACTCACATTTCCTCAGACACGGCCTTTCAGTTGGTCTGTAATCAACTCTGCAGTATCTCCCATGAATTTCTGCTTAAACAGAAAAACTTTTTAAAAAATCAGATTAGACCACTCTTTTCCTCCTGGTCACCGTCTACTTCATTGTCTTTGTGACCTAGCCTGTACTGACCCCTCTGCCCTGCCGCCTGCCTGCAAGCCTCGCCCACTGGTGGAGACCTGGCTGCTGCAGAAGGCTAGGTCACACACTGCTTGCTCCATGATGCTTTGAACTGCTACAGGCCTGTATATAGGGACCAGAATATTATTTATCTAGATGTGTAGACCCCGAAAACATTCAAGTAATAGAATTAGGTTGTGTTTTTTAAAACAATCTTCCATTTTGAAATCTCACCTTTTTATTTTTATTTTTAAATTATATTTTTTTGATGGTACTGTTACATTTGCCCTCATTTTTCTCCCTTTGCTCCTATCCACCTAGCACCCATCACTCCCTCAGGCAGTTCTTCCACCCTCGTTCATGTCCATGGGTCATGCGGATAAGTTCTTCTGTAACTACCTATTTGTATTTAGTAATCCCTTCACCTCTCACGCATTCTCCCCTACCTCCCTCCCATCTGTTTATCATTAACCTTTGGCATTTTAATTATGGTGTGTCTTGGAGTGGGCCTCTTTGCATCCAACTTATTTGAGACTGTTCTTACTGGACTTGCATGTCTATTTCCTTCACCAATTTAGGGAAGTGTTCTTTTGTTATTTTTTCAAATAGAGTTCCAATTTCTTGCTCCTTCTTTTCTCCTTCTGGCACCCCTCTGAAGCGAATATTGTCTTGCTTAACGCTGTCCCACAAGCTGCTTATACTGTCTTTGTTTGGATTATATTTTCTTCTTGTTGTTCTGATTGGTTGTTGTTTGCTTCCTTATGTTCCAAATCATTGATTTCTCAGCTTCATCCACTCTACTATTGTTTCCCTCTAAATTGTTCTTTATCTCTATTAGTGTATCCTTCGTTTCTGACTGTTTTATGCTGTTGAGGTCCTCACTGAGTTCCTTGAACATCCTTATAACCAGTGTTTTGAACTCTGCATCTGATAAATTGCTTATCTCTATTTCTTTCAGCTCTTCTTCTGGAGCTTTTCAGATCTTGATCTGATCTTTCATTTGGGCCCTTTCT